GGAGAGACAGAGAGGAAGATCTTCTGTCTGATGATTCACTCCCCAAGTGGCCACAACAGCTGGAGCTCAGCCAATCTGAAGCCAGGAGCCCAGAGCTTCTTCAGGGTCTCCCATGCGGGTGCTGGGTCCCAGTGCTCGACTGCTTTCCCAGCCACAAGCAGGGAGCTGGATGGGAAGTAGGGCCACTAGGATATGAACCGATGCCTATATGGGATCCCAGCACGTGCAAGGCTACGACTTTAACCGCTAGGCTACCGTGCTGGGCCTTCAAATGCTGTTTTTTGTTTTTGTTTTTGTTTTTACCATATGGGGCCAAAGTGCATCCTTGGGCTCTTCCTGCTGCTGCAAGCGTATGTGCTGGTCCTTAAATTGAGTCTTGTTTAACAGCTGCAAATGGAGCAATTGCGAACAGCCACCAGCTCCCAAGAGAGTTCTTCCCTGACCACTTTTAGTTCCAAATCACCATTGTAACACTAAAATATTGGCCCCAAATTATTCTTTTGCATGTCACATATATTAGTTATGGTTTCCCAGCAAAACCAACTGTCATTTCTCTTGTTCTTAATTTATTAGGCTAGTAAATACTTGTTGACTGACTGATAAAAGAACAAACAAAAACTGTAGCAAGACAGGTATCAGAGAGACTTAAAAGCGGAATATTACAGAGAATACCGATCCAAGTGGCCAGGCTGTGAGGCTTACTCCAGCTATGGAATTTGTCTGAGATTTTTTTTTTCTTTTTTAAACCAGCTGCACTCAGGAATCTCTTTTGGGTTTTCTTGTGTGACTTCAAGTCTGTGTCATCATCACCAATTCCCCCCTTGAACTGTCATGCTAAGGGTGGGGGATGGAACATGACACACCACCCTAGCCTGGCACTGCTGGTTTGTGCTGGTCTGTACCACCATGGGTCCATTGGGACATGTGGGAGCTCTGTCAGTTAAGCCAACTAAGGAGTCCTGAAGTCAGTGAAGAAATTGATAGAGGATTGCTTAAAATTATGGTGTATCTTTGGGTGGCAGAAATAACGATTTACTGGGGACATGGTTGCTTTTACAAAATTCACAAGGGAGAATAATAACTTCTAACCCTTGAAAGGAGGAGGGTTTCTTGGTACTTTGAGGACAAAGGAGAGTTCTGTTTTGACAAATGCATGGATGTTATTATTCCAAGAAGTGACACACATGGAAAGTACTGAGGGATTTCAAAAACAATTAGCTCATATTGGTGGATGTCAGATCCAATCTTTTCCCAAGATACCCCTAACTATCGGGGTCAGTTTTGGAAATTACTATTAAATATTCACATAGCTTATTCCTGGTAGAGATAGACCTTCAGCTTTCTGCAATTATGTGGCTCACCTAGGGTAGTGTTTTTTTTTTTTAATTAGCTGACATAAAAATGTATATGTACATCATACAATATGATTTCAAATATGTATGCATTTTGGAATGACTAAATCACACAGACTAACGTGTGTATTACCTTGCATTTATAATTTGGGGGGAATGAGGACTCTTTAAACCTATTCTCTTTAACAATTTTTAAGAATATGATATGTTACTCTTGACTGTCACCATGACGTACAGGATATTTCTTGAACTTATTTTTCCTTACTGAGAGTTTGTGTTCTTTGACCAACCTTTCCCCTATCCCTCCACTCTAGGGGATATTTAAAAATTATCGCTATTGAAGACCAAACATTATGGGTTGTAGTTTACAACAGTCATAGCTGCTGGCTCTCAAATTTTTTTCTTGCTTGGAGTAGAAGAGGCTCACTGGTTCCACATCTGCTCACCCAGCTACACCCACTCACTAGAGAAAACTGGCTGCCAGTAGCCTCATCTCTGGAGGAGAACAATACAATGAGCTTGTTGTGTACTTGTTGACATACAGAGTGTATTGTTTTAGCAGGTGCAGAAGATATTCTGTATGGAGCTTACAGAGACCTTTATCCTTGATGGCGTAGTGTAATTCAAATTCAAGTTGTCTTTTGTCTGACCCACAAGCAGGTGTTGGAGCTGGACTTCTAAGTTCTGGTCTTTCCATGCATGGATTAATGCATTAATTTTGAATTTTTCTTCTAGCTGTTCTGCTCACTCTGTGTCTTTTCCCTTAAAACAAAGATATGAAAGTCTCTTTGCTGGCCAGTCTGGTAGTTCTGGCTTTCCTAAGGTCTTTGATTGGACACTGTACACCTAGAGTAGTTTGAGGCCTGAGGTCATTACCTTTGCCTTCAAGAGAGAATTTAGTGATGGGCAATGACTCAGAAGAAGATTCTTTCTGTTTTCACTTGTTTGCCCAAACAAAATCGCATGCTTCTGTTGTCTCCTTTGGGTCCCTGATGGGTGGAAGTGACTTTTCTTTCTGAATTCACTGCTTAATTATCTCTGTACCAGTGAAGTAGAAAAATGGAAGGGTGGGTAATTGTCAGACGAGTGATATGCATGAATTGTAGTTACCGTGAACTCAGCTGTCAGACCTCCAGTTCTCTATTTCTTTTAGGAGAAGGAAGTAAATCTTTTAAAAACATGATAAGACCAAGGGCTTGTTAAAAACAACTGGCAGGCAAATCAGAAAGCCACTTAAATAATCTCTAGCTTAAAAAAATTATATATATATATTCACCTTCATCACAAAGTGCTTAGCCTAAAATACCAATTGGTTCACACGCTTCCCTGCCACGCAGTTGTGTATGTGGCAGGGAGATTGAGGTGGGAGGAAGAGGATCTCACGGGAGTAGTTCTGAAGCTTCAGCGAGTATACAACCCCGGGTTAAACATTTGCTCTGAATGGAAGCAGCTTGCTTATTCCCCATGCTGATGAGGTAAGCTTTTTCCTTAGCTTATTTCCCTGCTCTCTTTCTCCTCCTTGCTCATCCACTTAGAGTTTGCCTCCAAGAGAAGATTTTTGTTTTGAAGAAGAAATGTGCCTCAGGAAAAGGAGAAGAAAACTAGGGCAATGGCAACTCTCATCACATATTCCCAGTTTACTTGACTTGAAATTTGGCTCAGATCAACAAGTGTTTATTGATAGCTTCTTTATTCCATTACTCGTATTAGCATCTTGGAAATATAAGATCAAGATAATGTCAATAGCGAACATTTACTTAGTGTTTACTATGTGTCAAGTGTAGTTCTAAGCACCTGATTTATATTTAGGACATTTGTTCCACACAGTGACTCCATGAAGTACTATTATTACCCTAATTTTACAGATAAGGAGATTGAAGTGAACTTGGTCACTCAGCTAGGAACTAGGAGAGCCAGAATATGAAGCCAGGTGTTCCTGGGCCAAGATGACTAAGTTCTTGCCCTTAGGAGATTCATTTGGGGAAGATGTGGTCCAGATACTGAAAAACAGCTAGACAATGAAGAACACAGTGAGTAGAGAGGGAGAAGTTATTACAGTGTAGCACAGGCCTTTTGACGAGGAGGCAAGACTTCTTTCAATTCCATATTTGTCATGTATCAAATGGATATAACAGAATCTGCCTCCTGGATTCAGTGTGCCAGTTGCATGATAGAATGCTTATAGCGGTTAGTGCAGTGCCCAGCATGTATACATTAAACACTTCAGAAATTGTCTTTGTGTTGATGGTAGCGATTGTACTGATGTCTCCAGGACCTAAATGATGAGTAGAACTGGGCTATCCAGAGAGGGAGAAGAATGTGCTTTCAGGTGCATTATGAGGTAAGAGGGCAGTGAACCTAATGGCAGGAAGGGGTACTAAGAAGATGTGAGTGCCCCGTCTCCTTGCTGACGATCTTGAGGAGACACAGAAGGGATTTTGCAGTCACTTGGAGGCCCTGAACCTTTTCTTTGGTCTTCACTTATGCTGAGACAGCCTGTGATACTGTGAGCCTGCTTCCTGATTGGTCCCCATCTTCTCTCCCTCCTCATTTTTGCTCACTTCTAATGCCGGATACAGGATATGAACAGCCCTGCAGTTTCACAAAATGAGATCAACCTGTGCTGCTTGGAGATCCAGACTCAGTTGCTTCCCAGTCCTTAGCAGGAATGAGCCTTGCCTGAAGTAGAGGAAATAATTGCACCCAATGGGCTGATTGGAGGGCCTGGTCTAAGGGAGGGTCCTTGAGATTGTCTTCTATCTTTATTTCTTTTCATTTCTTAAAGATTTATTTTATTTTTATTGGAAAGGCGGATATACAGAGAGCAGAGACAGAGAGGAAGATCTTCCGTCCGATGATTCGCTCCCTAAGTGAGCGCAGCGGCCGGTGCTATGCTGATCTGAAGCCAGGAGCCTCTTCTGGGTCTCCCACGCGGGTGCAGGGTCCCAAGGCTTTGGGCCGTCCTCGACTGCTTTCCCAGGCCACAGGCAGGGAGCTGGATGGGAAGCGGGGGTGCCGGGATTAGAACCGGCGCCCATATGGGATCCCGGTGTGCAAGGCGAGGACTTTAGACTCTAGGCCACCGCGCCAGGCCCTGTCTTCTATCTTTAAAGATTTATTTATTTTTATTGAAAGGTAGATTTTTACAGAGAAAGAGATAAGAGAGGTCTTCCATCTGCTGGTTTACTGCCCAAATGACTTCAGCGGCCAGAGCTGAGCTGATCTGAAGCCAGGAAGCAGGAGCTTCATCTGGGTCTCCCACGCAGGTGCAAGGGCCCAAGCACTTGGACCATCCTGCACTGCTTTCCCGGATCACAAACAGGGAGCTGGATGGAAAATGGAACATCTAGGACTCAAACTGGCAACCATAGGAGATGCCAGTGCTGCAGGTAGAGCATCAGCTTGCTATCATACCATGCCAGCCCTCAGGCCATCTTCTGTCCTGAGTGACACCAATCAATTAAGTATTTGTTGAACTCCTACTGTGTGCAGAACAACGTAGAAGTTTGGGGTAATTCAAAAGAAGTAAATAACATGTTCTCCATAGGTATTGCTCATTTTGTGTGAAGACCAAACTGTGTACTTGCAACAACTGGCAATCAGCATAGGGTAGGTTGAAGTAAATATTGAATTGCCTGTGTTTTTCAGATGCCGCTACCTGGCCGTGCAGCTGTCTCCTGCTATACCTGTGTTTGCTGCCATGCTGTTCCTCTTCTCTATGGCTACCTTGTTGAGGACCAGCTTCAGTGACCCTGGAGTGATCCCACGGGCCCTGCCAGATGAAGCAGCATTCATAGAAATGGAGATAGGTGAGTTTTCCCGCTAGCCCACAAGCTGCTGGGATGTGGGTGGCATTAATCAGTAAGGTGGCAGAATTTTAATAAGGAATTGCAGGTAAACAGTCACGTCTGTTTCTGTTCCTTTTTGAGATCCTCAATCTAAGATCATGGTCACCCTGTGAATTCGGGAAGGCAAGTGTCATCATTGCTTTGTTCTAACCCTGTGCAGGGTTGTCTTTCCGCGAGATTTGTGACCAAGGTCCTGCTGCATTGTTCTCAAGTGAATTGGCTTTTTGTAGGGGTCACCAACATATTCGACTTTTTAAAATAAGAAATCATAAGCCTTATGTCCTTAAAATATTCTTAGATGCATGTACATACACACAATTTTGAGTATAATTTCAGGAATCCATATATCTTCTGAAGCCTAGTCATGGCAAACATTTCTGTTTTAGGGGAAACTCCAAAAGTGAGAGGAATAGCTGTGGTCACAGCAACCACTGAGAATTCTGGAAGAATTAGGGATGCAATTACTGTCTCTGGACTGTGAAATCTGCAGCTGAGGGTTTGAATCTTGGGGTTGGGGTGGGGTGGCCTTGAGGTGTGGTAGGTTAAGCCACGCTTAAAATGTCAGCATCCATCCCTTGTTGGTGTCTGTGGCGAGTCCATAGACCAACAGTACCTACCTGAGTAGTTCTTACTTTTTTTTAAAATTTTTTAAGATATATTTGCTTATTTGTTGGAAAGGCAGATTTACAGAGAGGAGAGATAGAAAGCTCTTTCATCTGTTTTCATTCCCCAAACGGCCACAATGGCTGGAGCTGAACTGATCGGAAGCCAGGAGCTTCATCTGGGTCTTCTGGACTGGGTGCAGGGTCCCAAGGCTTTGGGCCAGCCTCTTCTGCTTTCTTAGACTACAGGGAGTTGGATGGGAAATGGAACAGCCAGGACATGAGCTGGCGTCCATTTGTGATGCTGGCACTTGAAGGTAGAGGAGTAGCCTGTTGAGGGTCCCTTTCCTGACCCCCTGCACCACCAAGTGGTTCTTTTTTTTAAAAAAAAGATTTATTTATTTATTTTTGCAAAGTCAGATATACAGCGAGGAGGGGAGTCAGAGACTTCTTCCAAGTCTCCCACATGGGTGCAGGGTGCCAAGGCTTTGGGCTGTCCTGGACTGCTTTCCCAGGCCACAAGCAGGGAGCTGGATGGGAAGCGGGGGCTGCCGGGATTAGAACCGGTGCCCATGTGGGATCCCGGTGTGTTCAAGGTGAGGACTTTAGCTACTACGCTATCGCACCGGGCCCACCAAGTGGTTCTTAAGGTCATTTACAGCAGTAGCTTCAGCCAACTATCCAGACCAGGTGGAGTAAAAGAAAAGGATCCAGGACTTGTAAGCCTTCAGATGCCCAGCCTGGGAGCAGAGTCTGCTTGCTCTTGTTTTTGATTCTTTGAGGTTGCAGACTTCTTTGCTTTTGTATTTATTTGTCTAATTGTATTTCTGCCCAGCTTCTTAATAGTTATTTTTGAAAAATCCCAGCCTGTTTGAGTCGATCAGTTGGCTTGTGCACCTGTGAGTGAGCAGAGGTGGCGGGGTGGGATGAGGGTGGGAATAGTGGGGAGAAAGCAGAGATGAGATGTGTTGGCCCAGCTGGTGTTCTGGGAAGGGCCTGACAAACTAGAGCGTAGTGAGGGAGAATTGGGAATGCTGGCTTTTTCTCCCCTTCATCTGGGTTATTCCTTTATAGTCCCATTTCCATTGACGTATGGAGAAGTTGGTCATATGACTTGTCTCTTGCATCTCACAGCAGGTTGTTCACAAGGTTAGCTCTTTGCCACCTTGTCACTAGGCTGGGGCCTAGAGTCAAGTTGTTACATTGTAACCTCTGCATTTAGCACGATTCCCCATAGACGAGTACATTCTTGAGGTCACACATGTCTCTGCTAGCCAGGTTTTATCAGCGTATATTCAGCCTAGTGTTTGCACATATGGGGAACTGGGGAGAGAAGTGGCATCCCGGGGACAGTGAACCAAGACCCCTACCTCCCAGGTGCCATCATGTAAAGCAGGTGCAAAGGAATGTGAAGATGGCATGCTGATACTTCTTTTTCAATGAATAACAGTCCAATCCTTTTAAGACTGACACACTGTTATTGTTTGATTTCACAGCATCCACCCCACTCTACACAAAAAGGAAAAATGCTCCATATGGCAGATATTTTTAAAACCAAAGTGAATAGAAAAATACTCTGTTTTTAGAATTCTACTGCACGATGAGCGTGCAGTGAAATAGGCACTCTCCTGTGCTGCAATGGACAGACATGCACATTCGTACAGTCTGTCTAGAGGCTGTTTGGTGATAAGGCTTTGAAATTCGTGCCCTTTGACCCAGTGATTCTACTTGTCTAAGAGTTTAGCTAAAACAATCAGAAAATTTTTAAACAGATTACTGTAGGAGAATTTCTAGTGCATTGTTTCTTCGTTTTTCTTTTCTTTTCAAATTTGAATATAGCTGTTTTAGTGCCACAAACTTAATGTATTGCTGCTCATGCATATTTTTGTTCTTTCTCTCTGATTTCTCTCTGATTTTAACACATGGATTTTTGAGGAAGGGAGGAGGGGCCTGGATTTGGAGTGGTGATCAAAGGGGATATAGGCTATTATCTTTATAGGCACTTTTCATGTGCAACAGCCTTTGACTAATGAAAAACAGGAGACGGTTTCAATGCCCAACAATCGGGAATGGTTAAGTGAATTGTAGTACATACCATGGGATATTGCCAATAATGCTGATCTAGAAAAAAATTAACAGCTGTGGGTAAATGTGCATAATATATATATAAAATAATATAATATACAGTGTATATATAATGTATAATGTTTATATAATGTATAATATACACACATATACAATGTATATATTATATGTAATGTATAATATATAATGTATATATGATTTATAAAAATATCATTTGTAATTTCTCACATTTTAAAACAATCATGAATATTTACTTATCTGTTATGAGATTAGAAGGAAATGCACCAAAATACAAGAGTGTCAGAGCTGAAAGACTCAGTGATTTTTATCTCTTCATTTATGTCTTCTCTCTTTCTTTTTTTTATGATAAGCATATATATCTTTTGAACATTTTACTTATTTGAGAGGAATTGAGAAAGAGAGAGAGGGGGACCTCCCATTTACTGTTGCATTCCCCAGATGTCTGCAGTGGCTGGGGCTGCGTTGGGCTAGGCTGGACTGAAGCCTGGGAGCTGGGGAACCAATCCAGGTCTCCCGTGTGGGTGGCAGGAGCCCATTTGTTCGAGCCATTGCCTGTTGCCTCAGAGAATCTGCATTAGTAGGAATCCGGAGCTGGGAACCTGATGTGGGACTCGAACCTAGGCACTGTGATATGGACAGGCATCTTAACTGGTGTTTGAACCACTAGGTCAAATGTCTACTGCTGTTCTTATTTATTTTAAAGATTTATTTTTATTTATTTGAAAGACAGTAACAGAGAGAGGGGGAGATACACAAAAGAGATTGTTCATCTACTGGTTCACTCCTCAAACGGCTACAACGGCCAGATTTGGGCCAGGCTGAAGCCAGGAGCCTAGAACTCCATCTGGGTCTTTTATATGGGTGACAGAGGCCCAGGTACTTGGATCATCCTTTGCTTTCCCATGAGTATTAGCAGGGAGCTGTATTGGAAGTGGAACAGCCAGGACTGAAATCCTTGCTCCGATATGGGATGCCAGTAGCTTAAGCTGTTATGTCAGCTTGAGTGGGTGGGATTTAAGTGGGTGGGATAGTGGTGTAACAGCATGAGGCTTGGGCTGCCTCCATCCTGTTCTTATTTTAATGTTTTTAAGTGTTATCACTCTTTTTTCATATGGGTGTTTTATTTTTGCACAGTAGATCCTCATATATTCCTTTTTGGTATACATTTTCATTTTGCAATATTTTATTCATGTTTTTTGTGTCACCATCTATTCATCAATATGGTTTTAAATGGCTAAAATTCCACTCCATGCATTTATCATCTTTTACTCAACTAGTCTTCTATTATGACATTGAGGTTATTTTTAGTTTTTCGCTATTTTTTAAAGATTTATTTTTACTGGACAGTCAGATATACAGAGAGGAGGAGAGACAGGGAGGGAGATCTTCCGGCTGATGATTCACTCCTCAAGTGGCCACAATGGCTTGAGCTGAGCCAATCTGAAGGAAGGAGCCAAGAGCTTCTTCCCAGTTTCCCACGTGGGTGCAGGGTCCCAAGGCTTTGGGCCATCCTCCACTGCTTTCCCAGGCCACAAGCAGAGAGCTGGATGGGAAGCGGGACCCATATGGGATCCTGGCGTGTGTCAGGTAAGGACTTTGGCCACTAGGCTATTGTGCCTGGCCCTCACTATTTTTAATAACAAAACAAATTTTGCTGTTAACTCACTTAACACACTAATTTTAATGACACTGTGACAAATATTTTTGGTAGAAACATCTTTTGTGAATCTTTGTAATTTTGTTAAATTCGTGGAAGTAGCAGAATTACTAGGTTAAAGAATCTACTCTGTAAAGAGTTTGGTAACTTGCCTAACATTTTGCTCATGGGTAAGGTAGAAGAATGACATTTTCACACCCTTGACAACATTGAATATTTTTGTTTGTTTGTTTTTAATATTTGTTAACTTGAGGGCCCAGTGTGATGGCTCACTGGCTAAATCCTCACCTTGGAAGCACTGGGATCCGATATGGGTGCTGGTTTGTGCTCGGCAGCTCCACTTCCCATCCAGCTCCCTGCTCGTGGCCTGGCAAAGCAGTAGAGGATGGCCCAAAAGCCATTGAACTGTGCATGTGTGTAGGAAACCTGGAAGAAACTTCTGGCTCCTGGCTTTGGATCAACTCAGTTCTGACCATTTGTCTCTCCTCTCCATAAATCTGATCTGCCTTTCAAATAAAAAGAAATAAATCTTAAATAATTTTATTAACATGAAAGATGAAAATGATAGCTTATCTTTATTAATGAAGTTAGCTGTATTCATTTCATATATTTATGTCAATTTTGCTGTCCTTTTTTTTTTCTTTGCAATCAGAAGAAGCTGGTAGAAATGTTTCTTACATGTACATGACAGAATTGCATGACATTCAGTGGAACTTGGGAAGGGGCTACTGTGTGATGTTAAAGTCTAGTCTGGGGATGGGAGAGTGGTGTACCAGTCAGGATGCTGCTTGCGCTGCCTCCATCCTGTATCAGAGTGCGTGGTCAAGTCTCAGCTTCTCCGTGCAGACCCAGCTTCCCACCGATGGGCACCCTGGGAGGGAGCCAGCTGACAATGACTTGAGTTTCCTGCCTCTATGTGACAGATCTGGTTTAAGTTCTGGGTTCCTGGTGTTGACTTGGTCCAGGCTAAACTGTGTTGGCACTTATAAATTGAATCAGCCGATGAAAGATCTGTGTCTCTCTACTTCACGAATTAAACAAACAAAAAAAGAGTTAAGTAAATTTTTAAAGTAAAGTATTTTCACGTGGAGAAGACCATGACCAATCAGCCTTTGTTTATGCTTGTTGCTTTTAGAGAGATGCTGACATTTGGGGGTTGAAATAATGACCAGTATTAACTTGAACTGTCTTGACTGATTTATAGAAGCTACCAATGGCGCAGTGCCCCAGGGCCAGCGACCACCCCCGCGTATCAAGAATTTCCAGATAAACAACCAGATTGTGAAACTGAAATACTGTTATACATGTAAGATCTTCCGGCCTCCCCGGGCTTCCCATTGCAGCATCTGTGACAACTGTGTGGGTGAGTAAAAGCTAGGGGATGAAGATTTGGGGGAAAGGCTGTATTGAGCAAGAGGCTCCGGGTGGTCAGCAATTCTTGGAAAAAAAAAAATCAGTAGCTGTGGGAAGATAAATGGGGGAAACAAGCTACATTTTAATAGGAAATTGAGAGAGGAAGCAAGGTCTTGAGCAACTCTAAATCAACTTACCTGTATAGGTCAAGTTGTAAGTTAAGTATCTTCTAGTTAATTTTTATTTTTAAAAATTACCTCTTGGGTAAATGGGAGATAACACCTTTGGCCTTGGAGGGTTTCTTCTACTGGGTCTGCTGCTGGGCCCAACTTACCCAGGGGGAATGAAGCTCCTCATCCACTGGGGGGCAGTATTGAGGAAGGAAGGTTTGAGCAGCAGTGTTCCCAAGAAGAGATGTTACTGCTTGAGGTCCTGTGATGTACAGCGCACCAGGTTAAGTGCGTTTCATTTCTCTTGTGTGAGACTTAGAACATCTCTGTGAGATCGTTTTTATCCCCGTTTTACACTTGAGGAAAGAGTTCCTGTAATTAGTCTGAGATTAAACTGAAACCAGCCTTATTCTGAAGGTCTGCTTCTTCTGTTTTCACTGCTGCAGCAAGAATGGTGTGTGTGTGTGTGTGTGTATGTGCATGCACACAAGTGCATAAGATATGGTCTGTGCTTACATCCACATGGGTGGCTTCCTTGTAATCATTGCATCCTGTGTGCTGAACCTTGGGGAAGATCAGATATGGACCGTGAATGTTCCTATTGATAGGCATATGTGAAATTGCTGATATTATCACTAGGCAGCTTTCTGAGTTGCATATGCCAGGCAGCATGCCTGAGGGTCCTGCTTTCCTGCTTGCCAGTTCTTCAGGCAAAGTTTACAAAGTGTTGTGTCTGGCTCTGTATGGCTCAAAGCTCTAGGCAGATAGGATTCAATAAACCAGGAAACAATAAGTAGAGAAGGTCTGATGTGAAGGTTTTCATAAATAATTCCCTCTCCTTAAGCATAAAGAAAAAAAACACTTTTGCAGACAGCACTGACATTCCAGTGGATATATGGATAGTTCATAAAGCTAGAAAGAAAGGCAGTTGCCTAGTTAGCATGAGGTAAATATTAAAGCAGTACTTTTTTTTTGGATCTGCAGAATAAACTAAGAAGACCTGATAATGCCTAGTCCGACAATGGTGGGATTATAAATTAGAGTAAACTTTTGGGAAAGTAATCTTACAAAGATTCATCAAAAGTCTTAAAACATGTATATCCTTTCATTCCACTGGGTTAGTTTCTGGGAAATCAGGGTTGTGGTATAAGATCTAAGAATACTAATGCCTACCGCAGGACTATTGTGATAATGAAAAATTGGAAGGAATCTAATAGTTGACCAATAGACAAGTGGTCAAATAACTTATGGGATATTCATACAACAGACTTATGGAAAAGGCTCATACTAGAAAACTAAGTGACACAAATAGGAGATAGGCTATGTTTACACTGTGATCACAGCTATACCTTAAAAATGTAAATGCATGAAAAAAAAACAGGCAAAAAAACACCTCAGTGCTGTGGCTGTTTATGAGTTGTGGGATTCTGAGTAATTTTATTTTTTAATTTCAAATTTTCTAAAATGAGTATGTGTTACTTATGTTATCAGAAAAAGTGTGATTTAAAATACTGCAAGAAGTATCTGTCTGTATAAACCTGCATTTTCCCAGTGTTTTTGCATGGCTGATTTGCTTAAAGCTTTAGCTGTAATTCTTAACCTAGACATTACACTAACCACCTGGGCATGCCATTTTTCTCTATTCCTTACATCCATTTCCTAGAAAGATATATGAGGATTCTTCAAAAAGTCTGTAGAAACAGAATTAAAAGATGCTTATTTTGTGCAGTGTTTTGAAATCCATTGCAGAGAATTTTCAAAATACATACTTCCATGAACTTTTTGATGATGTGTTGTATCATCAAAATCAGAAGATGTACCATTCTTATAATATACATTGTGTGGTTATTTAACAATGATATATTTTATTGCCTTTGTGGAGTCTTTCCTTAAAATAGTACATATTCAGTATAAAAAAATGTGAAAAGTAAAGAAAGTGTAAGTCTAAACTTACTCTTCATTTTGCTGTATTTCCTTCCAGACTTTCATTTGCAGAATTAGACCATACATGATAGTTTTTTAAGCCTATTTTTGTCACTTAACAAGGACCATACATTTTTCTACATCTTTTTTTTTAAAACAAATTTATAATTTTTATAAGTTTTGGTGATGTTTGCATAATTATAGATGCATGCTCATGTGGACCACTGATTAGGGTCGGGAGGATGGAGGAATGCAGGAAAATGGGTAAGACAACAGTTTTTAATCTCCTTTTGTTCATGTATCTGGGGAAAATGGGGAGAGGGATGCTGCCAGCAGCCCAGCCTCATCACTGCCCTAGGATGGGGGACAGCCACCCGATATCCCAGCGTCACCAGTGTGGAGCATCTTCTGAGGGCACTGCTAAAGTGGTTTCCTAGTTCTGAGATGCTGTTGATTTGTTGCTCCAAGGATGAGGAAATCCTACTAAAGTCCATTGGCTGACACAGTCCACCTTAGAGTCAAGTCACCCAGATACTTGCTGTCAAAGCTTGGCTGGGAAAACTGTCCAGTTCTGCACTCCATGATACTAGATGTCCTCCACAGGCTTCAGTGAACTAGGTGTCACGTCCCCAAGCTCATCTGGGCATGCATTCCACTGTATGGGCTTCAAAAACTGAGGAAACTCAGTCCTGACATATGCACTCCATGGTCAGACCACAGATCTAGTAATTTCCCTCACAGATGGAGTTTTGAGGCCAGTGATCCAGACCCTGTCTGCTGGCATGCCCACGTCTGCACTCCACACATCTTAAAAAAAAAATAGCAACTATGTTGGCACACTGGTATAGTTAACACAAATTTGACATTAACCAGACCTAGAATGCCTGCCAGCTATTAGCTGCTTTTCTCCCAGCAGTGTAACACTTGCCTAGGTACAATCAGTCTAGACAGTTACCTACAGCTGGGGACATTTTTCTACATCTTAATATTTTTGAATAGGCTATTTTCATGACTATATAATCCATCATATGGTTATATTCTAATTCATTTAAGCAGTCTCCTATCATTAGATGTTATTCATTATTTTAACGTTATGACCAAAATTATTGGGCTTGAGGAAATAGAGAAATTGGAACTCCATACATTTCTGCTGGGAATGTGAAATACTGCAGTTGCTATGGAAAACAGTTTGGCAGTTCCTTAGAAAGTCAAATATAGCATTACCATATGACCTAGAAATTTTACTCCTGGGTATATATTTGTTTTAGTTTACTTGGGCTACCATAACAAAATATTACAGACTGGGTGACTTGAACAATAGAAATGTATTTTCTCACAATTCAGCATGCCAGAAGTCCAGGATCAAGGTGTCAGCATGGTTGATTTCTGGCAAGGCCTTTCTCTCTGGCTTTCTGATGGCTGCCTCCCTGCTGTGTCCTCACACAACCTTTTCTCTGTGCATATACTCCCAATGCCTCATGCACATCTTGTTAAGACAGCAGTCCTATTGCATTAAGGCTCCACCCTTATTACCTCACTTAACCTTAGCTCATGCCTTTAAAGGTCCTATCCCCAAACACAGGGCTGGGAGGGGGGTACAAGTCAGTTCATAATAATACTCAATTGAAGACAGGGACTCAAAACTTACTTACATCGCAGTGTTCATTACATCCATATTCACAATAGCCAGGAGTGGAAGCGATCTAAATGTCTATCAATGGATGAATGAATAAACAAAATATGGCATATAAATACAGTGGGCTATTACTCAGTTACACAAAGGAAAGGAGTACGAATGTGACCTACAACACGCATGAGCCTTGAAAGATGCTACATGAAAGAAGTCAAAACCAAAGAACATATAAAGATATCATATGATTGTACTTACATGAAGCATTTGGGATATATATATATATAGATAGATACTTAAGATTAGAAGTTGCTAGGCCCTGGGAGAAGGGAGAAACCGAGAGTTACCACTCAAAGGGTATAGAGTTTCTGTCTGGGATACTGAAAGGTGTTGGATAGAGACAGTGGTAATAATTGTACAACATTGTGAGCTTGAGTAATACCACTGTATTGTACTCTTAAAATAATTACAGTGGAAAATTATGTATCTTCTACCACAAACAAATGAAATTAAAAAATTATTGAACAACTCCCCCCCTCAAAATTATTGAACTTCAGTTTTTGTAAACATTTTCATTTCCCTGTGGGAAATGGCTGAAAACAGATTTATTCTGCCAGGGGGGTATGAACATTATTAAGGTTCTTGATACATACTGCCAAATTGCTTTCTGGGAATATTCTCTCAATTTGTATTCCCACAAGCAGTGCATTGGAAGATCCTATCCCACTAGCACTGGATGTTGTTATTTATATTCTTATTTTGATAGACAAAAAGAATCTTATTGTTTTATTAACATTGCACAGAATAGTGAGTGAATTTGAAGAAAATTAGACATGTTTATATGGTATTATATGTTTATTAACTGGTTTTGCCCTTTTCTTTTTACATATCGTTTCTATTTCCAGTTTTATTGAGGTATAATTGGCAAAAAGTATATGTATTCAAGCAATTCAGTGTGGTAATTTGATGTATGTATACACTGTAATAATTACCATGATTACCATAATCAAATTAGTCAACATACCCACTACCACTCACAATTGACATTTGGTATTGTGTATATATGAATATATATCTTTGACTATTGAGAAAATATTTGTTCTTTCTTATTTGTAAGGATTTTTAATATATAGTCACATAGAAATTTATATAGGTTGTCAGTATTTTAAAATTTCAAAAAATTTCTTCATAGTATTTTTAATATAAACTGAATATTTTCTTAAAGTTTATGAAATAAAATCTGTTTTTCTTTGTCATCTTTGTAATGTCCTTCCTTTTCCTACAGAGAATAAATGTACATCTGTTCCTTATAGTTGTATTTAATGGCTTGACTGTTTTAATGTTTAACTCTTTAATTCATCTGGACTTTATTTTGATAAATAAATAGTCTAAGGAGAAAAAAAATCCACCCTTAGTTTCTAGCAACTAACCAATTGTCTCAAGATTGTTTATAATAATACCTCTCTTTCGCCATTGATTTTGAAATGCTGGGTTTACTGGAGAATAAACTCTTACATATTGTAGAGTGTGTTTTGGGTTCTTTCCATTATTGAGCTATGCCAAACCATTAAAATATATTGTAGTTTTTTTATGGTTTTAATAATTGGAGGTCAAGAAAGACAACACTACTCATTCTTCAGATTTTCTTTATCCGTTTCCCTCTATTTATTGTTGTAGAACTTAGTAGGCCCATCTGCTAAGGCTTTTGTTTTGGAAACCAGTATTTTTGCTTTAATTGGCACAAGGTGACAGATCCCTTAACTGCTTGGTGTCCTAGTTTCGTCATCTGTAAAATGGATGGGGAGGGGGAGTGTATTCCCTTTTGCCCAACTTGTGGGGTATGTGTGCGGATCAGATGAAATGGTTTTGTAAGCCTTTCTAAAAAGTAAAAGATGGAAATGTATATTTTCTCAACTGAAATGGATACTGACACTAGGGCTCCTTGAGTTAGATGTTACATGGATGGCAGGGCTGCCCTTTGTTCTGGAGGCTTCGGCATTGGACTCTGTCTTTCTCCCACAGAACGCTTCGACCATCACTGCCCCTGGGTGGGGAATTGTGTCGGGAAGAGGAACTACCGCTACTTCTACCTCTTCATCCTTTCTCTCTCCCTGCTCACAATTTATGTCTTCGCCTTTAACATCGTCTATGTGGCGCTCAGTGAGTATGAAGGGTAGTGTCTATTGTTGGAGTAGCAGTGAGTTTGGGGAACACTTGAGGACAGCTTGGGGCACGAGGTGGCTGGGTTTCCTGGTGGGACTTTGAACACGGTGAGGGCATCATAGGACCCATTAAACAATGAGCGCTGTCCTAAGGCAGGGCTGCAAACCTCAGCAAACAGTGAAACATATTTACTGGGGATGGTGCTCTTCTCACTGGCTCTGTGCTGAGAACTGGGCCTTAATTACTGGTCTGAATACAGAGCGCTGCACATTTTGAAAGTGATCCCAAAGACAAGAGGTATGTTTGACATCCTCACTTCTGCCTTGTAACAGCTGCAGTATGCAAAGTGTTAGAAACGGTTTTAGCAGAGAAATGCTTTTTAGTAACTCATGGTCTGCTTTGGGAGATAAGACAATGTGAGGTGTGCTTCAAAAAGTTCAAGGAAAATATGGAATTAAAAGATACGTTTATTTGGGAATGCTTACATCCCATACCAGAGAGCCTAGATTCAGGTTTCTTCTTCTGATCCAGATTTCTGCTAGTGCATTAGGTCCCTGCCATCTGCATGGGAGACCCAAATTGAGTTCCTGGCTCCTGGCTGCACAGCCCTAGCTATTGCAGGCATTTAGGGAGTGAATCAGTGAATGGACAATTTATCTCTGTTTCTCTCTGTCTTTCAAATAAGAAATGATCGAATTAAAACCCCAGATAGGCTAGATTTACACCGAAATAAACTGATCTTTTAATTATATTTTCCATGAACTTTTTGAGGCACACACATACACACACAGGGGAGGTGGCGTGTGGGGTTAAAGTGTGGTTTTAATGAAGACAGCTTCGCAAAGAGAGGAGTTTGAGCTGTATCTTAAACTAGGAAGTGGCCCAGATAAGTCAGGAGAATTTTTGGTGGCAAATTCTGCTTTCTTCCATCTGTTAATATCCACCTGATGGGTCTGTAGTTGAGGGCTAGGGAAAAGGGAAGGGATCAAGGTTTGCTTAGGCCCAGCTCTCTATCCAGTGCCTGATCTTGCACCCGAAATACGGACTCTTTTATAATGAGTCTACCAGCTTGGAGGTGAGAATCCTCACCCTTGCCTGTGTGAGAGCTTATCTCTTGCCAGGGAGTAACACGCGGTAGAGCAGGAAGGTAGGAAAGCACTGAGCAGGCATGAGGAGGGTGTGTAGTTTTGACTGAAGTCCCTAATTTTTCTCTCCACTCTCAATTTCACAGAATCCTTGAAAATTGGCTTTCTGGAGACGTTGAAAGAAACTCCTGGAACATATCCTCCCCTGGCAGTATGCTCTGTGAAGCCTTCTTCAACTGCTTTCCCGCAGTCTTCCTCCCTGCAGTTCTCCCACCATTTAATGTTTCAGACATCAGAGAGTGCCAAAGTCTCTAAAAGAGTGTAGTCTTGGTGGTAACAGTTGCAGTGGAAGATAGCCAGGCATTAAAAGGAGGTTTTTCCTTCAGCTACTTGGAGTCTGTCTCTCTTCCAGGCACTTCTTATCCCAGGCTCAGCCCTGGCTCCTCTAGTAGACGACTTCGCTTAATAAATCTCTTCTGTCACTTACTGGGAGCTCCATCATCCTGCTGCAGCTGAGGCTACATTTCTGAAAAGCACATTCAGATGAAATATCTATAAACCATTTTCTCCCACTGAGTTTTCGTTTATAAAGTTTATTTTTTATTACATTTTCATTGGCAGTGATGACCACCATTGTTTAGCTTCAGCCTCCTCCTACACCTCCCCTTCCAAACGGCAATGAATGATAAGTAAATAGGCAAACACTGGAACACACTAGAGATTTGGTCATAGTGAATAAGCACAACTCCTTTACCTTTCGTAAGAGACCTATCCGATGAGTTTAAAATTGATCTGTTGTTTTATATGGCTGCTTGGCTTTTGGAGATACACATCTACAGAGGTAAAGATGGTGGAACTGTGGTCATGGAGTCCCCTGATGTAGCTTCTGCATTCCTTAACCTCACCTCACTGTGCTAGAAGTTCTCATTTGCTTCTTCACCCTGTGGTCCGTCGTGGGACTGACTGGATTTCATACTTTCCTCGTGGCTCTGAACCAGACAACCAATGAAGATGTAAGTCGACTTCTTTTCCATTCACAATTTATTTTCCTCTTAAGAGACTGTTTTGTTGTTATCTGCTACAGGGCTAACTCTTTAGCCTGGGAGGGTGAGGAAAGCAGAAACGTGCTGTGGAGAATATTACATGTGTGGAAGAGGAATAGACTTTTGTTTGAAGCTGAATGTCTCAAGGGCACTAGGAACATGAAACTGAGGGGCAGCTACGATGCTGGTGGGGATGCTGACATCCCATATCTTAGTCCCTGTGCTGCCTCTGCTCCTGATTCTAGCTTCCTACTAGTGTAATTCTGGAATGCAGTGGTGCTAACTCGAGTAACTGGCTTCCTGCCACTCCTGCAGGAGGCCTGGATTAGGTTCCTGGCTCCAGGCTTTGGCCTGGCCCAGCGGTGGCCGTTGTAGGCATTTGAAGAGTGAACAAGTGTTTGGGACCTCTCTCTTTCTGGAGACTGGTACGGGGGTTAACCTGCTGTCTCTGATGCCAGCATTCTGATGGAATGCTGCTTTACTGTCCTGGCTGTTTGACTTCTGATCCAGCTTCCTGTTAATGTACTTGGGATGACAGTGGGTAGTGGCCCCCATGCTTGAATGCCTGCCACCCTTGTGGAAGACCTCGATACAGCTCTTGGTTTCTGCTTTCAGCCTAGCCTAGCCCCAGCTGATGAAGCCACTGGGGAGTGAACCAGCAGGTAGAAAATGTATATGTGTGTGTGTGTGTGTGTGTGTGTGCGTGTGCACGCCCGCACTCTTGTCTATCATTCCACCTTTCAGATAAACAAATAGATCTTTTTTAAAAAAAAAAAAAAGGAGGGGCCGGTGATGTGGCATATCAGGCTAATCCTCTGACTGCAATGCTGGCATTCCATATGGGTGCCAGTTCAAGTCCTGGCTGCTCCATTGGTGACCCAGCCCTCTGCTAATGGCCTGGGAAAGCAGTGGAGAATGGTCCAAGTACTTAAACCCCTGCATTTATGTGGGAGATCCAGAAGAAATTCGTGAATTTGGACTAGCCTAGCCCTGAGCATCTGTAGCATTTGGGAAGTGAACCGGTGATAGAAGTTCTGTCTCTCTCTCTCTCCCTCTCCTTTCTATAGATTTGCCTTTCAAATAAAAAGGAAAAAAAGGTTAAAGGAAGGATGGAGAGGTTGTATGGGTATAAGGTCGTTAACAGTAGGTCATTAAAAGCTGAGTGTGCCTCAGATTTGGAATGACTAAGGACAGTTGCACTAAATAAATTCTTATTTCTAAATCTCCCAATTAATCCACGTTCATTGGAGAAAATCAGGAAACACAGATGAGCAAAGGAAACAGAATAAGTTCCTGCAATTTTACTTCCCAGGCATCAGCTGTATTAATAGTTTAATTTATATAGTCTTACAAACTTGTACAGGTTCATTTCCAGGTTTGTGTATCTGTATACATTATGTTTTTTAAAATAGAAATACATATCATTCAATCATGTGTTTTTTCCCACTCACTGTATTGTGAACATTGTTATAGTTGTGTATATATTTCCCTTTTATTGTGACTAATGCACACAATATAACAATGCCATCTAAATATATCATTCATTCACATTGTATAATTATTGCCATCATATATTTCTAGAACTTTATCTTATTTATTTGAGAGACAGACTGATATTTTCCATCCGCTAGTTTACTCCAGAAATGACTAGGCACTTCATCTGGATCTCTAATGTGGGTACAGGTGCCCAAGCACTTGGGTTGTTTTCTGCTGTTTTTATATGAGCATTAGCATAAAGAACTGAACTGGAAGTAGAGTATGAACCTGTATCCATATGGCATGTCAATATTGTGAGGAGCTTGGCTCACTGTGCCACAATGCTGATCCCTAGAATTTTTTTTAAAAGATGTATTTATTTACTTGAAATGCAGAATTACAGAGAGCAAAGAGAACAGAGAAAGAGAGGTCTTCCATTCACTGGTTCACTCTCCAAATGACCACAGTGACTGGGGCTGGGCCATACTGAACCTAGAAGCTTCTCCTGGTTCACTTACATGGGTGCAAGGACTCAAGTAGTTGGGCCATCTTCCACTGCTTTCCCAGGTGCATTGGCAGGGAGCTGGATGGGAAGTGGAGCAGCTGGGACTTGAACCAGGGTCCATATGGGATGCTGGTGTTGTAGGCAATTGCACCAGTGCTAGCCCCGTTTCTGGAAACTTTTTCATCATCATATGCTGCATGTCTTTCTTCAAAATAATTTTAATTTTTATTATTTTCTCTTGTCTGATAGCAGAGTGACACACAGAAAGAGTGAGTGAGATTTTCCATCTGCTGGTTTACTTTCCAAATGGTCACAATGGCTGATTTGTGGTGAGCCAGGCCAAAGCCAGGGCCAGGAGCTGTATTTTGGCCTTGTCCCTAGGTGGCAGGGGACCAAGCATTTGGGCCATCTTCCACTGCTTTCCCAGGCACATTAGCAGGGACGAATGGGGAGAACAACTAGGACTCGAATCAAAATCACCATGCTAGCTATAGAAACATGGGATCACTGATGGTGGCTTAACCAGCTGTACCACAACTCTGGCCCCTTCAAAACAGTTTTAATGTGAGCCTTGACTTTTATCTTGCAGATCAAAGGATCGTGGACAGGGAAGAATCGTGTTCAGAATCCCTATAGCCATGGCAACATTGTGAAGAACTGCTGTGAAGTGCTGTGTGGCCCGTTGCCCCCCAGGTACTCAGGGGACTAAAGGGTCCTGGGGGGCTCTTAGGATGAACAAGTCCACCTTATCTCATTACCTGATCTTACACATTCTGCTGAATGGGATCTTTTGGTGTCAGTTGATCTCCCCAAGGATTATTACCTGATAGCATACCTACAGAGACTCTAGACCATGGACTGGTTGGTTGGAATGTATGCTCTTCCATTCTTATTTCATGTGTTTGTGGAAGAAAAAGTGAATGAAAGGAGGTCTGTGCTCAGATGAGGCTAGATTGCTAAAGGCTTGATTTGTGTTTTACAATATGCACAGCAGGGTTCAGAAGGCTGTGTGGGTGGAGGAGTGAATGCCATTTTGCTGATGAACTCTCCTGTCTCCTTCAGCGTGCTGGATCGAAGGGGTATTTTGCCACTGGAGGAGAGTGGAAGCCGACCTCCCAGCACTCAAGAGACCAGTAGCAGCCTCTTGCCACAAAGCCCAGTAAGTGTGATTGCAGGCTGAGTTGATGCTAGTCAGGATTTAGGCTAATTTTAAAGCTTAGAAGTGTAGTTTGGCAATTTTGTATCCCAATCTCCTCAGCTTCCCTATCTTTACTTCTTCCTCACTGTTGATGCCCACATCATTGTACCTTTAAGTAGATTAAACTTCATTTCTTCTTTTTAAAAAGGATTTATTTGTTTTTATTGGAAAGGCAGATTTACAGAGAGAAGGAAAGACAGAAAGATCTTCCATCCTCTGGTTCACTTCCCAAATGGCCGCAACGGCCACAGCTGAACTGATCTGGAGCCAGGAGCCAGAACCTTCTTCTGGGTTGCCCATGCAGGTGCAGGGTCCCAGGGCTTTGGACCATCCTTCACTGCTTTCCCAGGCCATAAGCATGGAGCTGGATGGAAACTGGAGCGGCCAGGATATGAGCTGGTATATGGGATATCAGTGATTGGAGGTGGAGGATTAAACAGTAGAGCCCTGATGCTGGGTCCCAAGCTTCACTAATTTCTTTGAGATCTATTAAGCAGCTACTGTGTGCCAGTTACTTTGCTAGGTGTTGAGACTACACCAGAGAGCAAGGCAAATGATGTCCCTACTCTCAAGGTGCTTGCCGTATAGTGGAGATGAGAGGGGTGGTATCACTCCTCAACATCGTGAAGAGGGCCTTGATGAGGGAAGTGGGTTGGAGCAAAGATAGGGCTCAGGGATGGTGTTGGAGTTAGTGACGTGTTTCCCTTGGTAGAAAGGCTTTCTGGCTAGGATATACAGATGTTGTAGAAGCTGTCCCAGCTGTGCTGCTCAGGATATGTTTTATAAAACGTATGTTCTTAGTATTTGAGCATTTTTCTAACAGCTTTATTAGTGATGATTCACATATCATATAGTCCCTGTTTAACATGGATGATTCACTGATTAGTAATGTATTTTTAGAGTTGTACAATTATCACAACAATCGATTTAAAGGCATTTTAATTAAGCCTGTCCCCAGTTCCTATTAGCAGTCATGCTTCATATTTCCCCTAGCCCCATCCCTAGGCAACTAATAATCTGCTTTCTTTTGCTATTAGCTTTGCCTCTTCTGTACCTTTCATTTAAATGGTATCATTCAATAAGTGGCTTTTTGTGGATAGCCTTCACTTAGCTTTGTATTCTCAAGGTTCATCAGTGTTGTAGCAGATAGTGGTATTCCATTCCTTTAGGTGAAGCATAATATTCCACTACAGGGGTATGCTGCATTTTATTTATCCATTTACCAGTTGGTGGAAATTAGAATGATTCCATCTTTTGATTATTATTAATAGCTCTGGATATTCATGTGTAGGTTTTCCTGTGAACATATTTTCATTTCTCTTGGCTGTGTACTTGGGAGTAAAATTTCTGGATCAGATGATAAATCTATGTTTGAGAGGATGATTTCAGAAGGTTCATGGAAAATGCATAGTATGAAAAAATATTTTCCACCAGAATCAACTTTCCTTTGACTCCATTTTTCCATGAAGTTTTGCTCATAGAAGTACCCTTGTATTTAACCTTTTGAGGAGCTTTTAGACTCTGTCCAAGTGTGCCAGCAACAACTACTGACATCCCTACTAATAGTGCATGAGAATTCAAATTTCTCTGCATCCTTGCTGGCTATTATGTGACATTTTGACTAAAACTGTCTTAGTGAGTTCATTGTGGTTTTGATTTGCATTTTCCTGATGACTAATGATGTAGAGCATCTTTCGGTGTGCTTGTTGCACTTATATATTGTCTTTGGAGAAGTGTATGTTTGGAAAATTTTTCCTTTTAAAAAATTGAGTTGTCATTATTGAGTTACAGTTGTTCTTTATATGCACATCCCCCCCCCCTTGCCAGATATATGATTTGCAAATGTTTTCTCTCATCCTGTGGGTCATCTTTTCAATTTCTTTTTTTTTTTAAGATTTATTTATTTTATTACAAAGTCAGATATACAGAGAAGAGGAGAGACAGAGAGGAAGATCCTTCGTCCGCTGATTCACTCCCCAAGTGAGCGCAATGGCTGGTGCCATGCTGGGAACCAGAAACCTCCTCTGGGTCTCCCACACGGGTGCAGGGTCCCAAGCCTTGGGCTGTCCCCGACTGCCTTCCCAGTCACAAGCAGGGAGCTGGATGGGAAGTGGAGCCACTGGGATCAGAACTGGCGCCCATATGGGATCCCAGGGCGTTCAAGGCAAGGACTTTAGCCACTAGGCCACTGTGCCGGGCCCATCTTTTCAATTTCTTTTTAATTGTTATTAACATTGTATTATGTGATACAGTTTTATGGGCACTGGGATTCCCCCCACCCCTCCCATACCCCTCCCCCCATAGTGGATTCCTCCACCTTGCTGCATAACCACAGTTCAAGTTCAGTTGGGATTCCTTCATTGCAAGCATATACCTAGCATAAAGTCCAGCATCTTATTGTCCAGATAAGTTCAGTGGCCTCTTGGGGAGACCTTCTCTGGTCTGAAGGTAGAGCTAACAGAGTAAAGTTCCGGTCAGTTAAAAGCCCCAACAAAACCTCAGCATCAATATACAACGTTATGGAATTAATTGACATAGTATTGAGTAAACAAAATGTTAAAAATAATGCAAAACTATAATGCTAAGGGAAATGAGCGAATCCCAAAAGGTTAGATACCACATGTTTGCCTTGATTTAACCTGTAATTTTTGTTTGGTTGTTTGTTATTTTTTGAATGTATCATTGATACTGTCTCAACCCAGATTTTTTGAGGAATTGATCTTTTCAATTTCTTGATGGTAACCTTCGAAGCACAAAGTTTTAAATTGTGGTGTAATTCAGTTTATTTTTTTTTAACTTATGTTGCTTGTGCTTTTGATGTTATATCTAAGAATAACATTAAAATATGTTGCCCAATATAAGGTCATGAAGATTGATATTTCTGTTTATTGTAAGAATTTTATAGTTTTACTTCTTACATTTAGATCTTTGATTCATTTTGAGTTCACTTTTATATGGTGTTAGATAAAGGGTCTATACGTTATTTCTTTTGCCTGTAGCTATTTCATTGTTATTGTATCATTTGTTGAAAAGACTTTTTCCATTCCTTGTCGAAAATAAATTGATCATAAATGTGAGAGTTGGTTTCTAGACTCTCAACTGTTAATCACTTATCATTATTATTATTATATTTATCTATAAATTAATATATTTAAAATCAATGCAATCACCACACTCTTTTGGTTTTGTTAGTATTGTAGTAAGGTTTAGAATTGAGTAATGTGAATTTTCCAAGTTTATTTTCTTTCATGATTGCTTTGGATATTCTGGATGCCTTAAATTTCCATGTGAATTGTAGGACTTGCTTGTTAGTTTCTGCAAAGAAGCAAGTTGGCATTTTGATGATAATTGCATTGGATCAATATTGCATATAGATAAATATTGCTATTCTAGAAAATTTGTCTTCTGAGTTGTTGACATGACATATTTGCATTTGTTTGAGCTAAGTTTCAAACTTCTGTTACATTAAACATAAGAATTTTATTCTTTTTGTAATTGCTGTAAATGAAGGATTTTCTCCTAGTTTTTTTTTTTCAGATTGTGCATTGGGAGTGTGCAGAAATACTTGATTTTTGTGTATTGATCTTGTATCCTGAAACCTCATGAAACTTATTCTAATAAATTTTTAGTAGACTTAAACTTTGCCTAAATGGAAATCTATTTTTAAGCAAATGTTTTTTGTAAGGCAGATCATTGCTCTCTATCTAGCTTTTTCTGAATTTTGAATTTTAATTTTGTAATCATTTGAGAAAGAGAGAGAAAGAATGCAATCCAGGACTCCCATATGAATGGCAGAGACCCAATTATTTGAGCTAAGAGTGCCCTCTCCCAGGATGTACATTCACAGCATACTCGAGTTAAAATATCTGAGACACTTAAACTCAGGCACTCTAATAATAGGATGCGGGCATCCCAACCACTGGCTCAACTGCTGGGTCAAATGTCTGCCCCTAATTTTTAAAGTCCAGCAAACGAATGTTTATTTAATTATCATAATCACTTTGAATATCACTTTTTTAAAAGAGTCTGTCTCAAATCTAACAATCTAGGGTAGTGATTATCAGCTCAATGTGGGGAAGGGTAGTGTTTTACAATCACTGAGAGAGTCTTTTCAAACCTTACCTACGACCATCAAAATTTGATGCCTTACCTTCTTTGGTTTAGAATCACAAACGAGCTGTGTATTAGGGCAGAGGCAGGATTAATAACCTTTGGGCCAAGCTATGTTAGACAAGTACTTTATAGCATTCTGTTGGGAGGAGCACCTGACCTCTGTACTTATTTATGGTTTTTTCTTCTTTCTTCCACCTTCTCCTTGTATTTATTCTTATTTTTATTATGATTGATAATGGGTAATTGGTGCAGGAAGACAGCCTCTGTCACATCCTGCTGAGAAGATAGCCTGGCCTTGGTTCTGAGTTCGGGGCTGGTGGTTGCATAACTGTAGTATCAGCATGGTTAAGGGGTTCAGGGGAAGAGTGTGTGTGGATTATTTGCATTTGCATTTGGAAGGAGAACTTTGTATTAAATAAGATCTCTTTTTCTCTTAGGCGCCAACAGAACATCTGAATCCAAATGAGATGCCCGAGGACTCTAGCACTCCGGAAGAGATGCCACCTCCAGAACCCCCCGAGCCACCACAGGAGGCGACTGGAACTGAGAAGTAGCCTCTCCATGGAAGAGACTTTTGTTTGTGTTCATTAGGGCTAGGAGTGATTTCAGGGGAGAAGATAAACTTGAGACAGAGAGCAATCAAACTGTTCATTTGCGTCCTTTTCTTTAGTCCTTCATCAACCAATGGCACAGTGGCATTTTCTTGCTGCAAGGCCTTTTTTTTTTATTTTCTGTGCTCAAGGCAGTTAGCAAAGGATGTCATCATCACTTGTAACTGGACAAATGGATCTCTTGCACTGGGATACCTGTTTTCATGTTCTCCATAGGTTTTCCTGAATTCCTCCCTCTCTGCCCTCCAGATCGCAGCCCTCCAGATTGGGGGCCGTTGATCTCAATTTGGGGCTTAAGAGTTTTTTTCAGACTAGGCTCTAGCTGCTCGAAGCTGCTGCTTGTGCCTAGTGTAGAGGTAATTCTTGAGCCCGTTGGCCAGGGAATTCTAACTGGATTCTTGGGGCCTTCAGAATTGATGAAGATGGAGAAAGAGATTGGCAGATTCTCTCAACTACAAAGTGCCAGCCTGGTCAGTTAGTCCTTTTAGGAATGAGGCAGATACCTTCTACTTGTTGTATTTATTCATGTAGTTTCTCCTTTGCCCCCACCCCCCATCTACTCTTTAATACCCAAGTTCCCCTATCTTCCCTTTAGATACATGTAAGTAAGTGTAGTGAAGATAACAATTTACATTTTCCGTAGAACCCCCAGAATCTTTTTAATACCTATGCTATTCTCAAGTAAGAATGAATGAAATGCCAACAATGTAGCTCTTCACACTCTCTGTCTCACTCCTCCCTTCTCATTAGCCCCTTTTAATTTGTTTTTCATTTTGACTTTGCTCTCACAAGGAGCAGGAATGGCAGTAATAAAAGTCTGCACTCTGGTCCTTCCTTTTCCTCAGAGGAAGCCCGAGTGCTCACTTAAACACTACCCCCTCAGACTCCCTGTGTGAGGCTTTCAAAGGCCCTGAATGCACAATGGGGAAACCAAGGCACAGAGAGGCTCTCCTCTCCTTTCCTCTCCCCTTATGTCCCCTTAAACAAACAAAAACCACACACACACAGAGGAAAAAAAAAAAAAAAGAAAACAAATGAATAACCAGTACTTCCATTAAGCCTCGGCTGAGTGAGGGAAAGCCCAGCACTGCTGCCCTCCCGGGTAACCCACTCCAAGGCCTCAGCCCACCTCGAGCTATGGTAACCACACCGGGGTCTTCCTCCAAGCCCCACTCTTCCAGCACTTCCACCGGCAGAGTCCCAGAGCCACTTCCCCCAGGGGGTGGGCTGCGGCCCCCAGTCAGCTCTGCTCAGGACCTGCACTATTTCAGGGAAGAAGATTTCTGTATTATATGTGGCTATATTTCCTAGAGCCCCTGCATTTTTCTCTTTCTAAGCCAGGGTCCTGTCTGGATGACTTTATGGGGAGGGGGGAGGGAGCGTAAACCAGAACTTTTAATCTATTTGAAGGCAATTAAACTGTGTCTAATGCAAACTGCTTGCCTCCTCCTTCCCCGTCCATTTCAAGAACCACCTTGGGACTGTGTGGGGCGTTGTGGGTGGGGGTTAGAGGGATTGTTTGTTAACCACCCTTACTTCTATTTTCCAGGGGACCTCTAGGGTGGAGTGATAGCTCCCAGACTCTTCATTGGAATGTAATACATGCTAGGGTGAAGTTGATCTTCTTCTAAGACTATGGAGAAATGACTTTCAAGTCAGTATATGGTGTTAGCAAGTTCAGAAGGTTGGGAGATATTATTTCCTGCCAAGTTCAAATTCTTTATTAGGAGATTGCTTGAAAGCGGATGGATGCTGTTGATTGCAAGCAAGTCTTGGTTGGTAAAGCAGGCTCATCAGGGCCTTCCCCTGGAAATATTTTGTGAGTGATCTTTTTACAAGTGATGTTATGTAGTTCTTTTTAAGTGGTCTAATACGTATTCAGGATTCCTTACCAGTTTCTGTCTCACTCAGTGAATTGGAAGTAATGGAATTTGGCTGCTTCCAGATCTTTTACTCTGTGTCTTCCTATTCCTTGTGGCAGGATTTGAGGTTAGCATTTGATACAAAGAGAAAAGAAAGATTGGGAGAAAGGTTCCTCTTTGTGTCTGCTTCTACTTTCCCATTCTTTGTCTGCCTCTCGTTTTTTTCTCTCACAATTAGATTTTTTTTTAAAAGATTTATTTATTTTTGTTCGAAAGTCAGATATACAGAGAGGAGGAGAGACAGAGAGGAAGATCTTCCATCTGCTGATTCACTCCCCAAGTGGCCACAACAGGCCGGAGCTGAGCTGATTTAAAGCCAGGAGCCAGGAGCTACTTTCAGGTCTCCCACACGGGTACAGGGTCCCAAGGCTTTGGGCCGTCCTTGACTGCTTTCCCAAGCCACAAGCAGGGAGCTGGATGGGAAGCAGGGCTGCTGGGATTAGAATTGGCGCCCATATGGGATCCCAACACGTGCAAGGAGAGGACTTTTGCCACTAGGCAACAGCACCGGGCCTTCACAATTATATTGTTAATTATTTCACATTAAGGGCAGGCCTGAAAAGTTTGGGAGTTATTAGGGTTTTCTAGTTAACCTGGCTCTCATGTGAAGCCCCCTGTGATTAGAATCTAGCTCACCCCTCCCCCACCTTAGCCTATCTCCTCTTCTGGCTTTTTATGGATTTCTTTCCTCCCTAAGCTTGCCTCACCACTCCTTCTGGTCCTTAGGTCGGCCAGAGAAGGTTTCTATTTTTCTTTGTGTGTTTGTTTCTCTTTTTCTTTTCCTTTTTTAAAGGTTTATTTATTTTTACTAAAAGTCAGATATATAGAGAGGAGGAGAGACAGAGAGGAAGATCTTCTGTCCAATGATTCACTCCTCAAGTGATCACAATAGCCGGTGCTGTGCCAATCTGAAGCCAGGACCCAGGAGCTTCTCCCAGGTCGTCCATGCAGGTGCAGGGTCCCAAGGCTTTGGGCCGTCCTCAACTGCTTTCCCAGGCCACAAGCAGGGAGCTGGATGGGAAGTGGAGCTGTCGGGATTAGAACCTGCACCCATGTAGGATCCTGGAGCATTCAAGGTGAGGGCTTTAGCCTCTAGGCCACCGTGCCGGGCCCCTTTCTTTCTTTCTTTTTAGATTTCATTTATTTTTCTTGGAAAGGATGATTTACAGAGAAAGAAAGAGAAAGATCTTTCATCTGCTGGTTCACTCCCCAACTGCAAGGGCCAGAACTGAGCTGATCTGAAGCCAGAAAGCTTCTTCCAGGTCTCCCACATGGGTGCAGGGTCCCAAGATTTTGAACCATCATCTGCTGCTTTCCCATGCCACGAGCAAGGAACTGGATGGGAAGTGAAGCAGCTGGGATATGAACTGGCTCCCATGTGGGATCCTGGCACATGCGAGGTGACAATTTAGTCTCTGGACCCCTCTGTATCGAATGTCAAGGGTCAAGATGGAAATCTCCTATCTGTAGTGTGAGGCTTTGGGTGTTTTGTTTTTCTTTTTTTTTTTTCTGCTAAGCTACAATTGCTTTCCCATACTCTGGACCTGGTTTCTTTTGTTTATAAATAGTCTGTATTTAAGACCTTGGCCTGAGGATCTGTCCCATGAATACCATGCACTAGCTGGGACCACCCATAGTCCCGAGTTCTGCTCTGGGGAGAGATTGAAGAGAGTTGGTCTTTCCCAGGGAAATGGGCCTGAAATGGGTCTTTGATTGAGCAGTTGGTCTTAAGGTCTTTCCCATTGGCTCACTGTGTCTCCAACTATTCCTCCTCCCTTTCCTCCCCATTCGTCCAGTTTCCCATGCACCACCTCTTCCTTCGGCCATGATGATTGGCATTGATCCAAAAACCTCTGGGTGGGGTTTGGCAATGTTGGGTGGTTTCTTTGTGTCCATTTGGCTCCAAGACTCTCCTGGCCCCAGCTGAGGTCATCATCATCTTCTTTGGGTGTTTTCCCAAGTGTGGGATTGGTTTAGAGGTAGGTTCTAATTCTGTAGCAGCTAAATTCCATTCTTCCTGTGCTGACCAGCCTGCCTTTACCCATGGGGCCCCTTTTTTCCTACTGACCAAATCTCGTTACCTTTGTTGGGGGAAAGAAGTATTTTGTTTTGAAATCTATTTTCTGACTTAAATGCAATTTAATATGTAAATCTCTGCACTTTTATGTGAGCCTAAATATGTATGTGTTGGGGTTTTTTCACTCTCGTATTTCTTAATAAAGAAATCTTTCTTTTTGGGGCTGGGGGGAAGCCAATTAATGAAGCAGACTTGAATGGTTTTAGAAATACAGGGCTGTCTGTTTCTTTTGTGTTCTGCCTCATTTCTTTACTTGTGCCCAGTGTGAATGATGGTCCCCTCTCCTCACCCTTGACCCCTTTCCTTTGAGAGGTCCCTTAATTTAGAGGGGCCTAGAGATGAACCTGTTCTTTCTGATTCCCCTCTGGGACCACTTCAATTGGCTCAAGTGGTAACCTAGCGACATAGCCCCCTTCCACTCGCCATGACCTGATCCTGTTAACCTTTTTCTTCTGGCTTAGTTCCTTTTACACTCCTGAAACTGGATCCAAGGGCCAGAGAAAATCACCCAAGAATCATGGTAATTTTTTTGTAAATGATGGTTTATTTTTATGCCTTGGTACTACTAAAGAAGAACCATGCCATCATATTGTGTCACTTTTGAGAATACATTTTAAGAATCCCTTGGCTGTGCTTAGGTTTTAGAAATAGTGTTAAGGAATCCAGCTCAGAAATCTCATTACTTTTTTTTAAAGGTTTATTTATTTCTATTGGAAAGTCAGATATACAGAGAGGAGGAGAGACAGGGAGGAAAATCTTCCATCCGCTGATTCACTCCCCAAGTGGCTGCAATGGCTGGAGCTGAGCCAATTTGAAGCCAGGAGCCAGTAGCTTCTTCTGGATCTCCTACATGGGTGCAGGGTCCTAAGGCTTTGGGCCGTCCTTGACTGCCTTCCCAGTCACAAGCAGGGAGCTGGATGGGAAGTGGAGCAGTTGAGACATGAACCAGTATCAATATGGGATCCCGGCTCACGCAAGGTGAGAATTTAGGCACTAGGATACAGTGCCTGGCCCATTTCACTACTTTTAAAGGGTACAACTTTCACCAAAAGAAGTTCCACATGGATTTCATGTTTTTGATAAATAGGAGAAGGGAATGGGAACTAAACATCTGCATCTGTAAGAGTTTGGAGTGTCCTACACAATGTGAATCTAGGTGGAAAAGCCCAGTATAATTAGCTGGGCCTACATATTTACAAATAAATGCACAATGATTCTCTAGTTTTGGTATATACACTGTATCTTTAGGAGTACAACATCTGTACAAATTGAGGAAAGATGGAATTTTATTTTGTTCTGAATCTTACCAAGACTTTAGAAAGTTATGTCTGATGGGAGTACTACTCATGGATGTTTCAACCAGTGGCTTCACGTATTTATACTCACAGGAGTCCTCCTTTCTGGCGAATGCATTTGCAGTGATTCTAGAGATAGGTGGACACATCTCACCACTTGCTCTGCATGTTAGTGTAGTCTTGTCTGGGTATGTGTATACTGACATACATGTTATCGGAAATTACTTTGCTTTTAGGTCTCCCTTATAGTATAGTTAGTATAGTTGGCTCACCATATCTGTGGCTTCTGTATGTCAAGTTTGGCCAGTCGTAGATCAGAATTTTAAACATTTTGCATTTGTAGTAAACATGCACAATACAGTTTAATAGCAATTTTGGTATCATTTACGTTGATATAAGTCATCCAGGGATGGATGAAAGTATACTGAAAGATGATGTCTATAGGTTATTTGCAAACAGTATGCCATGTTATGTAGGTGTTTTAAGTAGTTCATAGACAAAGGATTCAGGAACTGTCTGTTTGGTGCAAAAGTATTTGAACTCCAGGCAGCTTTTCACAATATGCCCTATTTGCAAGCTTTTGGAAGACTCCCACCGCCCGTCTTGTTCATACAGTCTCAAAAACCTTTGTTTTGGATCTGGTGTTGTGGCACAGTGAGCTAAGCTGCTGCCTGCAATGCCAGCAGCCTGTATGGGAGTGCTGATTCTTGTCGTGACTGCTCTGCTTCCAGTCCAGCTGCTTGATAATGTGCCTTGGAAAGCAACAGATGATGGCTTAGGTACTTGGTCCCTGCCACCCATGTGGGAGTCAAGGATGGAGCTGGGTTTGCCCTGGCCCAGCCCCAGCTGTTGCAGCCATTAGGGCAGTGAATCAGCAGATCGAAGATTCTCATGCTCTCACTCATCCTTTTCCCCCACCCCTGTTCCTCTCCTCTTCAAATATTCTTAAAAATTTTTGCGCCAAAAAAAATTTTAATTTCATTTTCCGTGAATTTTGTTTTGAAGTAGTCACTAGTGTGAGAGACTTGAGTATGCATATTTTGGTATCCATGAACGTTCTGGAAAAATTACCCATAGATACTGAGGCAAGGCTGGGATAATATTGCTTATCTTGAAAAGGTGTGTATGAGCAAGTTACATTAATTAGGCTGTCCATTTCAGGGTAGCAAAGGGTACTTTACACACTGTATATATATCAAGGAAGTGTTGGGGTTGCTCGAGTTGTCAATTGTTGGAATAGATTATCCAAAACTAGGTATTTGGAAAGTTTGGAGAGAAAATAAGTAAACGTTAAAACCTTTAATATACCTTTTTTTTTTTTGAAAAGTAATACATGCTCATTGTTGAAAATCTGACTAGTACATGGAAAATTTTAGGTAGGATTTTTTTAAAGGTTTATTTATTTTATTACAAAGTCAGATATACAGAGAGGAGGAGAGACAGAGAGGAAGATCTTCTGTCCGATGATTCACTCCCCAAGTGACCGCAGTGGCCGGTGCTATGCCAATCTGAAGCCAGGACCCAGGAACTTCTGGGTCTCCCACGCGGGTGCAGGGTTCCAAGGCTTTGGGCCGTCCTCGACTGCTTTTCCAGGCCACAAGCAGGGAGCTGGATGGCAAGTGGAGCTGCCGGGATTAGAACTGGCGCCCATATGGGATCCAGGCACGTTCAAGGCATGGACTTTAGCCTTTAGGCCACTGTGCCAGGCCCCAAGCAAGAC